TTTTCTATGCATTGCATATCATTTTAAAGAATTTTATAAGCATTCATTAAATGAAATATAATTACAAACAAGAATGTTACAGAAATTTATTGCAAATGACAATTAATTTCAATTATCATAAAATGATTAAAGTTTAGATGATATTTAAAAAAAATTAATAAAATCAATGAATTTCGATTTTGAATAATTCTTCTAATTATCCAGCGTATTTGTAACTGAATATACGAAAATGAAATGTAGCCAAAGAAATATAATCGTATATATGTAAATAAAATAAGTAGTATTATAAAGTAAATAATTAGTATTATAACAATAATTAAAAGTATTTAAATTTCTTTTAACGTCTATTTTAACGAAACACTCTTTATTTTCGATTTTTACGTATATTCATTTTTTATGAATTTTTATTTATTAAGCCTTTTCAATACATTCAATATTTTAAGACTAAATAGTTTTAAAATTTTAATCCACTTATTGGTATAAAGAAAAATTTCGTAAATTAATTATATATTAATAATGCAAAGCCATGAAATTACTATCATGTGAAATTAATTAATTAATTCTCGCTTCATATCGACTTCAAGAAAATTTTAGAGAAAATATATAAATTAAAATAATATAAGAAATAATTGTATGAGATATTGTTAGAAAATATTGCATAATCATAAAAAAAATATTAATGATCAATAATTTTATTTTACTGATAATATAACTAAAAAGGATTGCATTGCATTAGAAGTTAAAAATATTTTTCTTCGTAGGTATAACGACTTATGTCTAAGTTATAATATATATGTGTGAATATTACAGCAATAAATTAAATTCCTGAAAATATAAAAAAATTGTGCAAAATGAACAGGTAATATTCTATATAATAATATAAAAAAATTTATATTTTTTCAAAGGTAAATATTAATAATAAGGTAATAATGGCAATTTAACATACTAAACTCAAAAGCATATTTAGTGTTTTTCAAACGATTTCATAATTTTATGTAATGTAATAATATTTTTATTATATATATATATATATATATATATATATATATATATATATATGGTGTATATCTCTATTCTTTTGTATGAAAGCATTATAGACCATAATAAAAATAAAAAATTTCATTTTATAATTTTAATTAGAAATATTTTAAGTACATTAAGTTTTATATAATGATTAATCAACTCTATCTGCGCAATGAATGAATGAATTATTTAATAATTGAACTATAATTTTTTCAGTATTGTAATTATTTTAATACAAGTTATCTAAAAACATCATAGCACAATACATATTTAGTTTTACATATCAAAGTGAAGGAATTTAATACTAATTACTATATGTCAAAATTTAATCTCTTTTATTAATAATTAACTTTTCTTTCAGTATTACATTTGATAATAACATTGTATTGTATTATACAAAAATAGCTGCAATACTTTCAATGCTTTTACGCTTTATCGTGTAGAAATATTAAATGTCTAAATAGATGGTAGTCACGATTGAAGTAGGAATAAAAATTTATAGTTCGCTTATTTTTATAACATTAAATAAAAAAAATTTGTTAAAATAAATATTTATAATATATTAATATATTTTTCATATTCTCATATGATTAAATGTATTCTTGGCCCGTTTATCGTAATTGATAAAAATTTGAGCACATAAAGTAACTCTTAGTTAATTTCATTGAAATTTAAACAATTGATATTGTGTTACGTAAATAAGTAAGTGATTTTAATTATTTATCATTCAATAAATAATTATTGTTAATAATTAATAGCCTGAAAGTATAAAAATATTACGCTGAAAAATATAGCACTCGATATTAACAAGAATCCAAAGAATGTAAAGTTAATCTTTTACAAGCAATAAACGAACAATTTATTTCATTCTTATTAATACTATGAATTTTCTGTCAAATAATAGTAATTAAAAAATTATGTCAAAATCTGATCTTTCGCAAACAGTCTAAAAATGAATGAATAAAAACTTAACAATGCGTAGTAGCATAATAATTATAGCATTAGTTTTAATTTACATATAATTTTTAAAAGTGTTCCGAACACCTTAGAATAGAACAATAAAAGTTTTTGCTTGAAACGGCGATCTAGCGTACTACTGCAACAATATCTTGATGCGTTAATTGATTCAACAATCTTAAAATTTTCAATATAACGATGCAAGTAATTCAATATAACTTTTAATAACAAGCGATGCAAGTAAAAGATTTAAATTCGTAAATTTAATCGATGCTCATAATTCGAATAAAATAAATTGATTAATAAAGAAGTAAGGCTTGTGTAACTCACCCGACGCATGACACGGAGTGAAAACGAGGAGGTCTTCATGTTTGAAATGATGAATAATTCCTACGTAAACGACGATGAAAATCGCACCTTCCCGTTAGCAGGGAAATATTCCGACAGCCGTGAGCTACGTACAGGAGCAGCAGGACGTTTTCTGTGTCTGCCAGCGATGGGGGTGGCGGCAGCAACTACAGGTGGTCGCTGATCCGGCCGTCAGTCCCCTTCGCCCAATTCTACTTTTCCTTCTACTTACTTATTCGACCACCAAACTAAATTCTGCCGGTGAGGAGGAGAGTAATACTGAACCCGGTAATGAGTGTATTACGGTTGAAAGTCGAGTCGTTTTTCTTTATAAACGCGAGCGAAGACAGTCGAAGGAACAATGTCGCTGAGAAGCTTAGAAGCACCCGCGCTGCGAATACGCGGAAGCCAGGAGATACGAGAGCGAGCGAGGAAGGGAACAGCTACACATTCGCGCACGCACGCATACACACACGCGTGTACGTAAGAATGTAGAGAGAGGGCTGATCAACGAGAGGGAAGGCGGTTGTTGATCGTCTGCTCGTGCGTCGCGGTTTCGGCTGCGATACCGAGCGTGCGAAAGAGAGTGCGTATAATAGATCGAGAGAGAACGAGAGAGTGATAGAGACAGACGGGTAAGGGAGGAAAACACCCTGGCGCTCTCGCGCACACTCGTCCGCCAGGGCCGCGCTCACTTAAGGTCGCGATGGCCCCCCTTGATATCCACTGTGATACCAACATCCAATGTTATTGTTGGTACATTTTATTGCACATTGCATTATCGTGGAGACATGTCCTGTGTTACCCTTCTAATTTCCGATTGATTTTTCGGCTATGATCATTGCCATATCCGCTGGCACAGATTTACAAGGACACGAGCTTCTAATAAAATAATGACGTACTTCGGGATATCGCCTGCGTGAATGTATCTGCGTGATCTGTTGCACTTCGTCATTCGTATATGGGCTCACTATTGTCTTACATGTGTATGTACATATGGGGGCGCGCGCACGTTTGAATATATTATGTTTACAAATGAAGCAAATGTGAGATGAAGGTGAAAGTTGTTTAACTAGAAATGACATTCCACCTTTCTTCATATATTTTAACGTATTATTGTAAATTTTCTAGTATACTTGAAGAAGCATTTATATTATTGAAAAGCATACAGTAGGTGGATGGTGCTTTTTAATCAAATACTTTAGAAATACGAATAAACGTTTTAGTGCAAAAGAATATGTATATGTATATTTTTTTTATTAATCTCTGAGAATTTTATTTAATTTTTGGCACAGCATAGATACATTTGCTGAATTATTAAAATGCTTGGTATTATTAAGATATAATCATTCGTTTAGAAAAATATTATTCTAATAAATACTTATTAATTGACAACTCGAACTACGAACATTTTTTACGATAGAAATATAACGATATAACACCTGAAATCACTACAACATTGTCACACATACTTTCAAGAGTTATCATTAATTTTAATGAGGATTTTACTGCTTAGAATTAAGAATTTAAGAATTACAAATGCGCTTATATATGCCAACCCACAGGCACACACATTCATACATGTGCATACACACAGCACGCATATGCATTTGTCCGTTATGAAAAATAAAATTCTAATTCAAAGAAATTTCATTTTCAAAGAATATTACTATAAGTGCATATGTACATAATTCAGATTTATTTTAAATATTTTCTTATATCAACATAACAAAATATTTTTACTAAAAAACAATATATATGTACAATTTTCTCATTTAATTCAAGTATGTCGTTTTGTATTACGTTTGTTTAATTTATTTAATTCGATACCTGGATCCGAATAATAATCATTATTGCTTCCATTATAATTACTATTTAACTATTTTTACTATTTAACTGCAATTAATATAATATTGCTTTAACACTATTTATTTCATTCTATTAAGATAATATAAAAATTCATTTAAAAAAAAGATGTCTATCGAAAAGTCTAGAAAAACATCAGCGCAAAATTAAATTATTATAATTACAATCTATAAATCACAACAATAATTGATATTCTTAAACAAATTCATGATTTTTCATACAAAGTTCTTATATTTATCAATTTTTTTTTAAACACATTTTAACGGTCGAATTTAAAAATTTTGAAGAACATTTTAACGGTAATAAGAATATTCTATATAATAAAGTATTTTAAAGAGCATAAAAAAGAATTTGATGCCTTGTACAATTTTACAAAGCCAAACGAAGTATGTATAATAATATGAACAATTTTCTATATTATCTTAAATTTTCAATAAATTATTAACTTATGCCAATTGTATTATTTAAATTACAGTTAAAAAAAAATTGTTTCTTACCTTTTTATCACTATTTTAATAGTACATTTTATAATACAAAAATTAATAAACATCATTATTAAATTAATATACTATAAATCAATGTAAGGGACTAATGTAATTACGGTAAAAGAATATGAATATATTTTACTGAACGACAAATTTATAATTCCATTTATGACGTACAATACAAAGTTCCTGATTCAATAAATTCTCAATTAAACCTTTTTATCTCTTATCGATAAAATAGGGTAAATCTTCTGTCACTACATTGCCGTACATGGCGCTAGTATCGTATCTATGAACCTTTCGAATTGCACACACACCCAGCTTGTTGCATATGTAAATAATCAGTATTGTTTACTGACAGAGGCACGAAGGAGAGAGAAAAAAAGAACAAATGAAGCAAAATTACAGTTACAAGTTATGTGAAATTAAATATCGTAAACCTATTGTCTAAAGTAGAACAATTTTGTCTGGTGTTTAAAGAAGAAATTAAGCCACGTTGAAGGAAATATTAGAATGGAGGAAGTCTTTCAAAACGGTAATCCAGAAGACACAGCGATAATTACAAATGATAATGATATTGCTGTCGAAATAAGAAAAGAGGTGAAAGATCAACAAAAATTAATTTTATTGTATAATAGAACAGTTGCCCTTATTACCATTGAACATTCAACAAGATTCACAACAATCTTATAAATAATAAATGGTTCAATGCGTAGCTCTATGCTTGTTGTAAAAAATAATTGTAAGTGTTTATGAAATTTATATTTATTGTTGTTCCAGAATACTTTACTCGATCATATGGAAATTACAATAGTTGAGGCAGAGAAAAGAGCAAATGGAGCGCTGAATTTAAAAGAATTTTTCACCGTGTACCTCATTGAAACAAAGTATATTAATTAAAAGTTTTATTACATTTTTATCGGTGACTTTTATAATATTTATAATAATGTATATTATGTATATTCACACTTAACTGTTAAAATTTAGGGTCATTGATCTAGAATTCAAGGATGCTTTTACCAACATGAGTTCTTTATGGCGTCGTTATACCGAATTTGAATTGTTGCGAGCCTATCTAGAAATCTTATATCCTTTTATTGTGGTACCACCTTTACCCGAGAAGAAAGTTTTGTATGCCTGGCAGAAAGTTACCACTGATACATTTGACCCAGATTTCGTTGATCGCAGACGAGCTGGATTAGAAGTAGGTTTCTCTAAATAAGATGAATCAATAACGTTTATTTTAAAACATCTTTAATCTTTTAGAATTTTTTATTGAGAGTCGCATCTCATCCAATCTTATCCTATGATAAGCACTTTATGGGATTTTTACAACAAAAGGATGGATGGAGGGAAAGTATAAAAGAAACTGGTATATTATTTTGAATACAAATAATATCTGATAATAATAATATTATTATTGAAATTATATTATCATATATAATCATTATAACAATAATTTAATATTGAACTAATTACTAAAAATATTTAAGTGTTTGACATTACATATTTATTACAAAATTTTCCTTAATAGGATATTTACAAATCGCTGAATCAAAATTGAAAGCTTTAAGTGTTGCTGTGCGTCTACGGAAGCCTGATAAACGTTTTGAGACAATAAAAAATTATGGCATAGAACTACAGGTATAAATATATGAACAATTAAAATGTACAGATGAGATAAACTATTTAATTGCTTACAGAACAATTTGTGTAATTTACTTCGTGTTCGTTCTAAGTTAGTTGAAAAACAGTATAGTTTTTATAAATTACATGCAAATTATGGACGGATATTTAGCGAATGGAGTGCTATTGAACGAGAAATGGGGGATGGTTTACAGGTACATTATATTATTATTAGTCAAAAACAAATTTCAAAAAAGATTAATATAAAAAGAGAAATAATTGATGAATTACATTACAGAAATCGGGTCACTACTTAGATTCATTAGCTGCTATGATTGATTCAACACTGGAAGAAGAAGAACTAATAGCAGATCAATTAAAAGAGTGGCTCTTTGGTGCATCTGCATTACAAGCAGTAGTTCGACGTCGTGAAGCTTTACAACTTGGTAAAGAAGAAGCTTGTGATAATCTTTCTGCTGTACACGAGCAAAAGGAAAAAGTTCTTCAAGGTGAATAAAAGAACAAAAGAATTACAATTATAACAAAAATAGAATACAAAAGTTTATTTAAAATTAGGCGATATAATGGGAAAATGAAATTTACATTGTTATTGAATAAATTTTCTTAATTTTCACCGACAACAATTTATATATTTTATAGAAAATTTTATATACAAAATATAGAATAGACAATTACATCTGATTTACATTTGCTTTCATTACTCATTCTTAGGAAAATCAGGACTTATATCCAGACTTTTTGGTTCAGTAGATACAGAAGATGTTCGTGAAATAAAAATACTTCAATTAGATCAAAAAATTAATCAAGGCGAAGAAATAGTGAAACAAACTGACCAAGAATTATCGTAAGTTTTTGTTTTAAATACGAATTGTAATTGTTAATATTTATCAATGAAGAAAAGTTTTATATTTGCAATAGGTTATTTTCTGAAAAAGCTATGGATGATATTGAGAGATTTCAAGTACAAAAGGTTCTTGATCTCAGAGAAACATTAACAGCATATTGTGTTCTTCAATTTAAACTTGCGAGAAAAGTAAAAGAGAATTTCAATTATTTCATATATTGCTTAACTTGAGAATAATAATTTTGCTTATATTTTAGGGTCTTTTAGCTTGGCAACATATCAAACAATGCTTGGAAAGTATGCCGTAATTCAAATATAATATTTTTCAATCTAAATCGATAATAACTTGATCATAATTTTTCAAGAATATAAAAAAAGTAATTAATTCAGTTAAGAACATGCTTAATTTAAAAAGCATGCATATATTATTACAATATTAGTATAAACGTAAAGTTATTTTAAAATATTAAATTTTACTTCGTTAAATATGTGTATACATAAATAGATATGTATACTATATTATGAAAATATTTCTGGAGGAAAATTGGTGTATTAGTATATTAATATACTTTCATAAAAATATACGTCATGTAGCTAGAAAATCCTGACAATGAAGGACTGATTAACTAGTGAATTAGTATGTATAAAGATTTAAATAATCAAATTTAAGGGTTGATTTCACTGTGACAACTTAATATATAGTAGATTTATAACAATGCCTATAATGAATTAATATAAAAATATATATATATATATATATATATATTAATTAAATTAAAGTTTATTATATTGTTTAGCAATATTTAAAGAAATTTAAAATATTTTATATTAACCTAATTATTTATTATTTTTTAAATTACTAAATAATCATAGGTTCCTTTAACAAATTTACCTCTATTATGGATATATTATTGAAATGAATAACAAATATATATTTTTTATTTAAATCTTTAACGTCAATAATGCATAAAAATAACTAAGTGACCAATCTTTAACGTGAATATGTATTTTCTTATTCCATTATTATAGAATATATGGAAAAAATACTTATAAAAGTCTATTGTATATATTAGTATATAGATTTATTAGTAATATCGAGGTATGTTCTACAATTATTTGCAGTTTGGATTTAAATTTATATGTTTGTTTAACATTCTCAGCTGATAAATAAGTAAGTTGATAAAAAATGTTGTTTTCGTTGCAGTGACGTAGTTTATAATTTTTTTTAGAAGAACAATAATGATAATAAAATTGATATTAAAATTTTTAAGCTTATACTTATGAATATATCATTGGAAAATATAAAAAATTTTCCAAATTTTTCTTTGTAATAGTGAAATGAACTTTTAAAATTGAAACAATCATACATCTTTTGACATTTTACACATAGATAAACTAGTGTGTAAATCATTTCTTATAGAAAATAATTTTTCTATAATAAATGCATTATGCAAAAGATAGAATAATTATGTTATATTATATTTTTGTAAAAAAAAAAATTGTTGAACGAATTTCTTAAGGTAAAAACTTATTGATACAGCATTTTTTCAAGCTGTAACTTAAGTCAGTGCTATGTATACTCGCTGAACACAAATTATATCTGTTAAATATTAGCTAAGTTTTTCTTTTATAAATTGGAACTATTATTCTTATTATTATTTTGTATTATTAATTAATGGCAAAGTTTAAACTACATGATTCCTCTTATTAGAAAGTGAAGGAAAGTTTTTACTTTCATAAGCAATGGAATTATGATCTTTGACCGAACCTCTTGTACGACGTACTATTTGATATATAATTTTGACTAGATTATAGTCATGTATTACTGAATTTGTTATTCGTTGTTATACGAATGATGAGTTATACGAATATAGTTTTTCAATTTAGAATAGACACCGGTAGATTTTTAAGTAGAAATGTATAATTACACAATTATTATTTTACCTTATTTATTATTATTATCATTATCATTATTATTATTATTTTTATTATTATTATTACATGTAATCTATATAATCAGTATAGTAATTATATTCACGTTATTTAGACTTTCGCGTTCTTAACAGTATTGACGTCACATATTATACAAATGCTATTAGATGATAAATTTTTAATTCGCATTTATAGCATTAAATTAGTTAATTAAATTAAATATTTGATATTACGTTTTAGAATATACTTTCCTTATTTGTCATAAACAAAAATCTAAAGACGGAGAATATGGGTCAAACCAATAAGAAGCTAGAATGATTCCCCAAAATTACTCGAAAATTCGCATTAGAAACTATCTTAAATACGATGATAATAAAATTGTCTCAAATTTTCATTCCTTGTATTACTAAAAAAAATAAGTCGAAAGATTTTGATGGTTAGAATAAAGCATTTGTAATAAGCAGTCAATGTATACATAATTCTAATGTTGAAGGTGTTACGCATTTTTGCTGTAATACACAGTTTTACAAATACTAATATACCTTCTATTTTATTTTTTTATTCATTTAATTTTTAGCAACGATAATTTTTACATTAGCATTAAAAATTATTTTGACACGCCGAGCAATGTTTCTCAGCTATAACGTACATTTTGATAAATTGAACAACCGTCTCACTAATGAATGATTCACTGATAATTGAGTGTAGTTACTGTTATATCTTTGTGTGCATTGGTCAGGCTTTATTATCTTCATCTCCTCTCATGTACGAATTTTATCAGCTTGTAATGTAATCGTGTACTATTGTTAAATTGGATAACCAATATTTAATATTAATTATATTTATTTTTTAATAGTGTTTCTAATTTAATATTTTAAATATTTTCATAGTTGGCTTATCTGAAAATTTTACCATGAGTTTTCAGATATTGATTTTTGATAGACGTTTAAATAATTGAAGTTAAAAGATGTATACGTAAGTTGTGACTTGAATTTTCATTAATTCGTGCGATGTTCGATGCTTTATAACAATAAAGCTATTATTTTTTCAATAATGACAAGCTGTTCTATTTCGTCGTATTTAATGGTTACGTGATTTTTTATTTTGGTTTACGATCTTTAGAGATTATGCCTTAAAGCTGTTAGAGCATTTTAAAATTCATTAGAGTAGATTACATTTGAATTCAATTACTTAATGAATATTTTCATGTTATAGTATTTTCTCTTTCACTCTCTCTCTCTCTCTCCCCTCTCTCTCTCTCTCTCTCTCTCTCTCTCTCTCGCATTCCACAAAAATATTTACACGACATTTGTTATTTTGAATAAATTGATTAATATATCTATTTTAGTTATTGATATAATATAGTGCATATAATAATTTAAATAATTGCGACATAATAACTATAATGTTATTTAAATCATGTATTAATTAGTTAATAAATACAAATATATTTTTATGAAACTGTACTATACGTAATACATATTTATTTATGTGAATTAATAACTTACAAAAGATCTCTTGTATGTCTTAATGTTGAAATATGAATATTTTGCTTTATATGAAAATGAAAGTAAATAAAATGCACAATTTATTTGGATTTCGTAAATATAAAATGAAAGAATTATTTAAAGGAATAAATGTACGTAAGTAATACTTTCAATACTTTCTTGATAAAAGTTCAATACTCCTAACTTTTGAATATATTCGAAAAACGTTTATTCATTTCTAAATTCGGCTCTGTAAAGATTTATTTTATAAAACATTCAATTTTATTTTAATATTTAATTATACATAAATATATCTCCACATGTTCAATTAATATTTTGCAAAAGTATTGACGAAAAATAATTTAATAATTTTTTATTAATCATTGAACAGAAAATTTGTTTATTCGAAGAAGTATTAAGAAACATGAGATAATTCTAAATATTAGAGTATGATATCTTCAAATGATTTAAAATTATGCATAAATTAATGCAATGAATGTTGGTAAATATTTTATTGGTAATCTATAAATGTTAAAAATTTATGAGATAATATGTAATTTAATCAGATTTAAGTATGAAAGTAAAATTATTTTTATCTATAATATATATATTTGTTTACAAATATTCATTAGAAAACCGAATAAGTGAAAAACAATTAAGTTTAAAATAATCTAAATTATTGTTTCTTTAGTCATAATAGCATTATACATGCGAATAAAATAATCCCAAACTCATATATTGTTAATGTACAGTTATGCTTAAAATTGTAGTCTGAAAAATTAATTATCACGATAAATAATTTTTTTTTCTATTAGTATAACTGTACAGATTGACTATTTTTTCAAATATTCGACGTGCGTTAAGAAAAAGAAATATATCAAATTTGTCGACCAATGAAAGCACTTTCCTACTAGCCATTTGAGAGACTAAAATTCTTTCTTTGGTATATAATAATTTCTCTACGTTTATGACGTTTATAAATTGATTCGAATATTTAATCATATAATTCTTCAGAAAAAAAAATTACATTTTCTCATTGATATATCAACTATTTCAGCTGATTTATGCGCCTACATTTGTAGATTATGAAATTTTGTATAAACAATCATAGAAATTTAGCATTTTAATATTTGTTTTTTCACGAGAAAAATATACTACAAATGGCTTAAAACAATGCTAATTGATATACAGTAGACAAGATAAAATCTTTCAAACTACAATTAATTTACGTGTAAGGTTTCCTCATATTTCTATAGACTAATATAAAAAATTATTACAATTATATGTTCTTTTTGTTATTTATAATATACAATTGCCAATATTTTATGTATTCAATATATGTGTCTATATATGTATGAAGATATTTTTTAGACAAAGTATATTTTAATATATACTGACTGTTGAAAAATGCGAAATAAAATTTTAATAATCTATGTTTTATAATTTATTTGTATTTCATATAAGTTACATTCATCTTCGTATTAATTGTAACTAAATAAATAATTTATTTCTATGATACATCATGACAAACCCAAGAAATAAATGTGACTAAAATTAAATACTAATAATTATACATAATTTTAAATAAATAAGAAAATTTATCTATAAAAAATGTTTAAGCTCAAAAACATATACGTATTTTAATCATATATATGCGAATTCTAAAATTATATTAAATAAATAGTAATTATTAATTACCATTTTTAATTATTTTATAATGTATAGTTTAAGAAGTGAACATATTTCATTAAAAGAAATTTTTAAATCAATTACTTTGATTTCAAAAAAAGGCTAAGTAGCTATACATCAAAATATCCTATACATTTCTACTTTTATTGAGTTAGTATTGCAGGAAGTATCCATTATTTATTAATTTACCCAATTATAAAATAATTTATTTTCAATCTCAAATATTTTATCAGTATTTTGGTAATTTTTTTTCTAAAACTATTTAATAAACCGAATTGGAAATTAAAAGAATTACATAACTTTTTTAATGTATGTATACGATTAAAAATAATATTTGTTCTATTATTTAATAATTGGAAAATATATTGTAGATTTTTATGTAATTTGCTTATGAATCTATTTAATAAAGAAGATAAATATAAAATTTCAATAAAATGTTATTGCATGAATAATATATTGTATTTTATTTCATCTTTCAATATCACAATTTAATAAAAAAAAAAGTATGTTTTATAACAATTATTTTTATGTCTACGAGTAATAACATTTGGAAAAATATACAAAATGTGTCAGACAGAAGTAAGGTAAGAATGAAAAAGGTGATGGATGCTATATTATAAATGATATTTTTTGTTCATAACAAATGATATATAATAATATTGGATATATATTTAAATGTATATATATATATATATATATATATATATATATATATACAACACAATTCGAATGTACCATTGTATTCTATCGCAGTTATGTACTAATTATTTAATACATTATATCACAGATTTAGAATTAGTTATTTAGTATATATTTAACAAGTCATCTATCCATTAGTTTTGTGCAAAATATTTAAGTTTTATATTGTGTAATTTTTAACTTGGCTGGATAATTATTATTCAATTTTATTAATTGTGCATGTTATAAAAGATAATTAATTATTATTTACAATTTTGCATTTCAATATACATAAAATTTTTAAATAAATATTAGGTTGAAATAATTTGAATTAATATGTTTAAAATTATAAAAATTACAATATATGTTTATACTGTTACATTTAAATGTAGCTTAAAATTCGTAAAATTTACTCTTAATACTTTAACCCCATATTTTTAAGGTACATGCCCCTAATTTATGTATTCTACTAGTAAGCAACGATTAAAAACATTTCGAAGTAATTATCTCTAATCATACATAATCAGAATTACAATATATGTATGTATTATCTATATTTTTGACTTACTATCAATATCTTTATAATTTACAATGGATTAACATTAATCACAGCAACAGTGATTATATGCACTTTCACCATATCTTATAAAGTTATCAGTCATCGAATTGTATGTTAATATAAAGAACGTAGATGATACAAATAGATATAATACGTAAAAATGTTAATGTTCTAAATGAAATATTGAATTTGACAAAAATCTTATTGATACTTACAAATCATCGTAAATATTCAAATAAAATATAAATATTATTAATGATTTCTATATAAAAGTATAAATACATATGCTTTTAAAAATTTGTATCATAATCATATGTAATATTTAACTTATTATGATATTTTTGTCTGAGATCTTTGTATTACAGGAATGTAACATTTAAGTTAATTTGTTGTTATACATTTCAACATAAAGTTTAATAAGTAATTGTTTCACCTATAGTCGTAGTAATTTTTACTTAACAAAAGTATAAAGCACATGAATAAAAATGTTCTAAATATTTGATATTTTTTAATATATATATATATTTTATATATTATGCACACAGAGGATTTTAAACCTTCACCTTCAATTTAAATCTTCATCGCTATACATTGGCTATATAAAGGACTTATTGTCATATGTTTTTTTTTTAATTGTTTTTCCTTTAAAGAATAATAAATAGCATTACAGTAGTATTAGTAAATAATTGCTTACGACTATTAGTAATTTTTAAAGAAATTATAAATATGAGTTTCAGAATAAATTTTTACGTTTTTAACGTACTGTGAAGTAAATAAATAATGTTTATATATTACAAGTCATTACATTAGTGCTTTAAATAGACAAATATTGTGACGTTTATAATTAAATTCAATATTTAGTGTCATTATTGAGATTTAGTGAAGCTATATACTACCTATAGAGTGTTTTATCATATAAAATTTAATCATCGTAGATCATATAAAAATGTAGTCAATGTCGAATTATTTACTGATTTAATTATTTATTAAATTCATGAAATTTCTACGTCAAGTACTTAATCATAATATCAATATGAAAACAGATTGATAATACACTTTTTTTTTCAATATTATAATTGACTGTAAATTCAGATAATAAGAATTAAATAAGAATTAAATAAAGAATTATTATTTAAAAATTTATAATTTTCATGTGAAATGTTTATTAAAATTTTAAACTTCCGAATTTTTCAGCATTTCTCTGTATTGATTTTTTTTTTTTTTTTTTTTTATAGACAATTCAGTTTATTACAAATTATTGTACTATTTCATTATTATTTTACTATTCACATGAATTATATATAAAAAATGTTAATTTAAGATTATATCCTTAAAAGCTTGATACCTTTTTTAATACGTAGATGCATCTATAATTATATAATTTTTTCTGAATCGCATGCATTTTTTTTATTGACGAAAGATTATGTAATGGAATTTTAATTTGTAGAAATCGTCCTTCAAAAATTGTTTGAATTATAATGCTTTCCAGGGTTAGAATATATTATGTCTTTCTCTCTAATATAGTGTAAATAAATGTCCACAATAGTTATTACTCGACACACGTATCTATTGTTTTATCCTGCTATTTGAATAATTTCACAAAATGAAGATTTCGTTAGTTAAAGATAAAGGCGACGCGAAGTTCCCGCTCCATCATACCGGTTTGCAGGATTCGTCCTCCGCCTCGATGGTGTTCAACTGCAAAAAGTATTCGTCCTGTTGCTTTGACGGACTATGTTCGGAGTCGGCTATTAGCTCGTCTGGGACTGCTTGACTTAAATTGTGCGACGGCCTAATGTTTTTCAAACCTGGGAGCCAGTTGAGAAGACACCACCATTTCTTTTTTGAGCCTTCGGTCGGTGTTCCTATGCGGTTACTCAAAACGTCACATTGTTGTAGGGATTTCAACGGTGAGTTTTGTACCTAAAATGAAAATCATGAAAATATAGGTTTAGTTAAACTACGAAAAAAGGGTGTACGGACGCAGTACTCTTTAGCGAAATTCTAATAATATATTGTAATTAATATAATGTATATCATAACATTAAATAAATTCAAATAAAATTAGAATATTCTTGAATCATATGAATGTATTTTGTAAAGCTATGGCAATAAATTTATAGTATGATTCTTGGTTTGTTACATAAGAATTTTTTGTTTGTTTCATAAGATTTTTTGTTACATAATAAGCAATTTTTTCATTGATTATGTATGCAAATAGTTATACATTCATTTGCAAAAATACCATAAATACAGTTTTTACTTTAGTCAAAGAATAAATATATTACTAAAAGAAAGAATTCCCAAAAATACAAAAATTATGATATAAATATCAAAGTTTTAAATCTCATTATTAATTAATTAATATTCTTGTTTGAATATTATTTTCATATTTTTAACTTTATAAGTTCTATTATTTTTATAATAATAAAAATTATATTTAATCTTATAATTTTCCGTCAATTTAAAAATAATAAATTGAAATTCTCAGTTTAATTGTACGTTTTTAAAGTACCTTTATTTATGATTTCGTCTTCTGAAATTCAGCTTAGTACTCATAAGGATTGTTAATGCTTCATTATCATAAATTTTCTATTTTATTTATTACAGTTCCTTCTCAACATATTAAAAGACTTGTTATCGAATAATGTATTAAAATTATGGTTTTTTTTTATATTTATTTGTAATTTTTTACAATATTAAAAATCAGAAATCACGTGTATATTCTATCTCTCTAATATATATTTACATTATATAATTAAGCAGTTTATCTATACTTTTAAATAGATACATCGAACAGCAATAATTGTTATTAATTATTACAACTATTGATTTGCTATTTTTCATTGAATTTTCTAATATTTGTTCTATTTTTTAGCAACACTTTATATATATATGTATATAAATGTGTACGTATGTGTGTAATATATATTTTTACTAGATATACTTTTATAAATATTTTAATATCATATCGACCATTTGTATTTGATCACGTATTTATTTACTATACAATAAATTCTTGATCTTTTCTTAAATTTTATATAGACAATAATCTAAGGTATTTATTTATTTTAACTATAAAATAATTTTAAAAAATTATTTCGTATTTAATATATAATTTTTTTATAAGGCATTTGAGATCATAGAGCTTACATATGAACTAATATTAATTATATAAATTGAGCATAGTATATTAAGAAATAGCATTTTTTAAATAATAGATAAAATTGTACAGACAATTTTTTAATACATTTTTTCCCCAAATTTTATATATAGTCAATTTAAATAATATTTCTGTCATCGTTTGATGAGTTCTATGACGTTGTATATGATATTAGAGAAAAAAGAATATCAATAAAGAGTTATTATATTCAATTAAAGTAGTAATTAAAAAGTAGTTATTCAAATTGATAGTCATTATAACTGTTTATTTATAGTTGACTAAAATTATATTAATCAATTTATATGGATACCATTAAAATTTCGATAGTTATTTCGTAGAGTTAATATTTTTCAATTACAATTTGAATAATTAATTTTGAAACTTATGTTCGCCCTATACAAATAATAAATCTTACAATTCATATACGGGCTAGGATGTACTAATACATATACATGTAGTAAATTGAGAGTTGCGCATTAACGTGACATAAATCATACTATATAGCTTCTGTAAGAAAATATTCAAATACTAGGCATTTATGAAATGAAAAAATACATTACATGTACTTACATCAAATTGCAAATATTCAAATGCTAATGAAATGAATTTTACGAGAAAAAAAAACTATATAAAGTACAAATATTTTTATTAGCATTTATGTCAATTACAAAAAAAAATACATTTATTGTTTTTATGAAAAATGTAATATGATTTTAATAATTTTCTTTTTATAATAAATATTTTTTTTATAAACTCCATAATATGTAAACTAACTAGTTTTGGAAACAAGTTTATTGATTAAAGATGATAAAATTCCAATTCTGAAAATAAAGCAACGTAGATGAAAAATACATTTTACATTAAATTAAAAAATAAGCTAAATCGTCGTATTTATTCCATTTTTCGGATTATTCCTTTTCATTTTTATTTTGTTCTGTTGATTTATCGTAAAACATTGTTTAATTCGAGGAGGGAAGAAGTTGAACTATCTTGAATAGTTTTCAACATATATGAACAAAAATATATCGAAGATCAAGGATTGTAAAAAAAACATAAAATCACAGTATTACATAAATGTATACGGTATTCATATGTATAATATACAGTGTTGTATATTATTAAACATCTATTATATCTCATATATTGCCAATAAAATAAATAAATAAATAAAAAATAATATATTTCATACTTTTATTGATCTCATAAGACATTATATTATATTAATTATATAATTAATCTTATTTAATATTAAATTATGCTAATGCTAAAGCGAGTAAATACTTTGTTGAGATGGAATCGATATTTGTGTATCTCATTTTTAAGACGTAGCATGTTTCATTATAATATTATACATTATTAGAAAACTTAAAATTTAGTTTCCGAATAAAAATCATAATAAATTTGCATTTAATAAATTACATGTATAACGAGCTGAATTTACCAATACATTATAAAGAAAGCTTTACAAACAAATAATTTGAAATTTGATTGAATCATATGCAAAGATTAAAAAAAAAAAAATAAATTCAAAGTAAAATAGTAATCCAGAAGAATATTATTATTTATGCTAGAATATCATTTAAAAGTTTTTTTTCTTATAAAATATCCAAAGGGTCTTGATATAAATGAAAGTGATATAAATAAAGAAAATGGTCAATAGCAACTCTCATTTGTACCCAAGCAATAGTAACGGAATAATAATTGTACAAATACTTTGTACAAATAAAGCCTAAAATTGTAGAAAAAAAGAGGCCGATTCTTACAGCAGGTTATCGCGGCGGCGGGGGGAGGGTTAGATAGGAGAGCATAAATAAATAAACAATTTATTTACGAAAGTCCCGTCTGCACTCAGTTAGAAAAGCAATTGCGGCTTGCCTTCGCGTACTGGTCGTTTATCGGCGTAGGCAAGTCTTTGCTAATCGAATGCCCGACTTGATTTTTGTCCACTTGCCGAGCACTTGGGTCCACCGAATCAGCCTCCAATAAAGTACATGTGCTGGCAGTCGGATGGGCCTCATTAATCGGGGCCGTTGATAAGCTCGTACCACTTGCATCGACATCGCTGCCGGTAACTTTCTTCCCGGAGAATTGCTTACTGCTAATGCCGGCGCATCTCATCGAGAATTTAGCGAGATTAGCGCGTCCGATATCCGAACGATCCTGATGGACCTCGTCGCGTAATGATATTGCAGAGCACTCGGTCCCATCCTACGAAACAAGAGCATATGGTAGTTGGTGGCATGAAAGGTAATTCTTCAAATGGGTGGATTTACGTAACGAGGCGTTAGCGTTTAAAACAAAAAACAAAGCAAAAAAAAACAAAAACAAAAAAAAAACAAAAACAAAACAAAAACAAAATTGGCTTGAGAATTGTGGGCCGATAGCCGAATATCGAAATAATTTTAGATGGATGATCGATGTTTTTCTATGATAATTTTCTATGATAATGACATTTTATTGCGAATGAACGCTTAACTCGAAGGATTTTCCGTATCTTAAGCAATCATAATTCATATAAACTATTTCTTTTATTTATGCATGCTGTTTCGTTTATGCAATATATTCGTTATGAATTTGTTACTTCATTAAATTTCGTAATCACTGGATTCGTCATAATTTCTAGTGTTATGAGCCAAACTCCTCTTCTTATGAATTCCAAGCACGTCGCTGTAATATAATACAACGCAGTAATATGAAGTAATATTATGATACATTATCTATCATTTTATTGTTACTTTTGTTATAGCTCTTTATTATTTATACTTAATGAAAGAAATGTTAATAAATTTTATATATTTAATGAACAAAATGAGCCATGAGATTAGATTTTATAAAAATTTTCGGAAGTTATATTGTTAACTTTGTACTTGTATGTTAAAAATATGTCAAAAATTGTGCGAAAAGTCTATTGATATTCTTTTAGTAAAAATATTTTACTTTGAATATGCTCCGTGAATATACATTTTCATGAATAGGTAAACAAAAATATTACTTAAAAAGGGGAGGGGGGGAGGGGAGTAAAACTGCACCAAGAATTATGGAAGAACAAAGAGCAAATGAAGAACGACAAAAAAGCAAAATAGTGTTTGGAAAGCGTTACGCGTACGTTTAAATACTTTGCAACGCAAATAATTCAGAACGTAAATATTACACATTGAAAAGTTTTATCCATGCTCCTTCATTAATTTCAATTATATTCATTACAATTTTAATTTAGCTTTTTGCAATTATACTTTATAAATAAATTAACATACCTAACAATTTTTGCATTAAATGTCCAGAGCTTATGGTAGAAATTATTATTAAAATAATATAATTAATTTTTCAATATTATAATTAATTATAATATAATACAATTGCAGATCTTAATATCTACAAGATATAATGCTAATAATAATCTCTAAAAATATTGTGTACAAAACATTAATGTTGTAAATATAAAGTGAGTATATATTATTCCTTATATTTACACTTTAATGGTAATTGATTAAAATTGTACATTGCTTAAGCTTTTATTTTAGCTTCATTATTTGAGTTTCATATTTAATTATACAGATCATCATTTGAATTTGTATTGCAATAGTTATTAAAATGTTAAAATGCATATAACTTTTTATATCCCATAGTTTTAAATGAATTTCTAGATGTATGTGTGTGTATGCGCACGCGCGCGCAAGACCATACGCGCACGAATATAATGATTTTTTTAATTTTTGTAAAAAAATTACTCACAATAATCACGTATAAGATGGATTAAACATTATCTTTATCTTATTTATAAATAAATAAGAATCATATAGCTACTTTGTTATGTAAAAATTTTACGCATAATTTCAAATAGTGATATCTTACATAATTCTGTATTCGACATTTAATTTTCTAATTTAGAAGAGTATATTCCAGAATCATTGGAATTGTAAAATTTTTAATGCCGAGATTCCGCACTCGCTTTAATGAACATTGAGAGATTTATTAATAATAACCATGCACACATACTTGAATACAACACTGAAAACTACTACTTAATAATTTATTTGTTTAGCTAATTTTTTTTGTAACTTTAACTATTTAACGGATAAGAATAGATTAAATTATTCCTTTAATAATTATACACTGCGTATTACAGAGGCAAAAAAATCCCAGTCTTAACTGTTAAACATTAAAATTAAATGCAATTTGGAGATTACTGAAAGCGTGCATTAGCAGCTCTGCATCGAAGGTTGCAAACTTTTCCAACAACACAAATCTAACAAAATCTAACAAAATCACAAAGATCTTACCTGGACTATTGCACTAACCACGCTGTTGGCAGTTGCTCTTGAAGGGTAGGCACCCAGGTTCCGCTGCTGGGAGCGTGACAAGGACGAATAGGAGCGGCGCTCACGTGGCATCGAGGAGCGCGACATTCTACAGCTTCTCGCCAAAGTCTCCTGGAATAATCAATAACAATTAATTACTGTGAACGCGTATTACTTGAAGTACTTCGCAATGAATAATTTAGTTTTTCATTAGCCTTTCATTCTAATTGTCGTACTTTATTGATATTCTTCATTCCTTTTTTGTAAGTTACACAAGCCTAAAATTTAAATTACATTAAAAATCTCGTTTACTTACACGATATGCTTGTTAATTTGGTATGATTATTAATAAATTTAAACAAAACCTCGTGCGATAAAACAAAGGCTTATTTTAGAAATTGATAAAAAATAAAAGAATAAAATAAGCTACATTGTTTCCCTTTATTTATTTGCATATTCACCATAGGGGTATGTATATGTTATTTAACATAATGATTGTATGATTAAATAGTTTAATACATCAAATAGTCTATTAAATTTCTCGTTAGAACATCAAGAAATTAATTAATTTAATTATAATAAATATGGCAAATTGTTTTCTATTCTGCAGAGTTATATTGATTTAGCTCATTCAAATTGTATAGAAGAAAATTACAATTAATCGTGATTTCTTTTATGATTATTAATTATACATTCACATTTACAAGTAAAAATAATATTACATGATACAATCGGATATCATATTTTATATTTCATATATTTCATTACAATTGAAACTATCATTGTCTTTAAAAGGATTATCAATGTCAGATATCGTCGTTTTAAATCAAAGTCATCTAACTCCTAAAGATTTCACATTAATCAGAATATTTAAGAAATTCAATTATACGTGTCGTCTATCATTCATTATTCCTTACAATGCATAATCAGTTAATATTTCATTCAAATTATCTACTTTTTGTCCAACGAACAGAATTTAATCGTTATTTTCATAATATAAATTATATCCTTAAATCTATTTGATTCGGCAATTAAATTCAAAGCTAACTTTATGCTAGAATTTTAAAAATTATTCATTACTTGTGTATAATAAGAAATTTATGGACTTTGCTTTTACAGATTTTTATAAAATGTATTTATTTTCAATCTATGTTAATGTCCCTTAATCAAATATGAATTATTTATCGAATACACTGAAAAAAATAAACAATCAAATAATAGGAATTAGTATTTCGTTAATAACGAAGAATATTATTATTTTTTTATTCTGCATTTTTCTTTTTTATGTAGAATATTAAAAATGTATCTATTTACTTGTAATATGTCTATTTTAATAAATAAATAAACACGATAATGTTTGAACGTATTGAAATCATTATCTTACCATAAAAGCTTCTCGGAATTTGTTTGACATAATATTATACAAAATTGGATTGATAGTTGTGGAGAAGTAGTAGAGCACTCCGGATACGTATGTGAAAATCACATAAAGCAGTCGTAGCCAATTATTTCTTTCCGTGGAATAATGTTCTGTTCTACTATAAATAGCGATCAGCCGTTGCATATGAAATGGCGCCCAACAGATGAAGAAGGCCACTACAACTGCAACTGCAAAGATAATATGCAAATTATCCTATAAGATTTTTAACAGACGTAAACAATTTTTTTATTTCCTGATTACCAGTATGGCTTCATGATTTAATAGAACAAACATGAAAATGTATTTTAATTTTCAATAAAAAAAAAAAAATGCGTTAATGTGCATTAAATGGAAATTTAATAAATTTAATTTTTCAACTTTGTTATTTTTATAATAAAAAATACATAAGAAAAAAAGTGTATATATATATATATATATATATATATATATGTATTTGTAATAAGATATTTATTGTTGCTATTCATAAATATTAATAATTGATTAAGAATTTTATATTTACTTTTATTAGTAATAAATTTTATATTGTACATTAAATAAATTTACATTCTAATCAATCTATTTTTTTTTTAAATTGACATCTACAGAACATTGTAAAATTTATTTTCAATTCATTTCTATAAATTTGATCAGTTATAGTTTTGGGTATGTTTCCTATTTCCTCGTAGATTTCTGATGTCTCTTATTCCCTACAAATATCAAATAATATAATTCAAACACAATTAAATTATCTTGGCCTTCTTGTATATTTGTAATAATATGTGATATTTAATATAGTAGAATAAAGTATTAGCGATTTATTCATTTATAGGCATCATATTGTTGTATGACATAACAATTACTTACACAGCTGGATATTAACAGCGGGAGCTGACAACTATTTAACGGAAACATATCAATTTTATTCATGATAGAACGCTTCAGACAAGAATGAAATATTTCTTAATCTATTATTTCTTTTCCTTCCTCTTTCTCTTTATTATTGACAAAAGCTTCGATATGTAAATGGCGTTTAATAAGAAAATTTTTTGAAAAATAATTTAAATTCAATTATTCGAGGTCTTTCGTGTATTATAAAATAAAAATTAAAGTGAAACAATTAACGACATTTGCAATGTTTAATGGATATATGCAGATTTTTTTATGCACATATTGCTAGGCGATGAAGAAAAATGTGACGATAATTGCGTATTGCAATTTCAATTTATTTATGCTTTTATTTATACAGTCTTTCTTGTTGTTAATAATCTTTATTTAAAAAACAGTAATTAATTTAGTATATTAAGTTTTCAAGATCACAATACTCATGGAAATACTAAATAATGAAATTATTATAATTCATATAAACCACTATTAATGCATTTGTATATATATATAATATAATCTAATATATAACGATACAATAATATATAAATTTGTAACTTTTAATTAAAATTCTAAATGAGAGCCTTACAAATACATACTTACAATAAAAACAGAACTCTACAAATGATAAATTAATGTTAACGAAAAAATATCGAATTTCATATAAATCATTTAAAAACCATATAAAATAATTTTTTTAATGTAAAAATAATCTAATTAAAAAAATACCTGTTTCAGATTTAAACGTAATAAGCTTTAAATTAATCTTGTAACATTATTATAGTTTCAAGTGATTTGAATTCTCCATTAGTAATTAGAGTGTATTTTTTCTTCAATTATTATTTATAATTATAACTAAAATTGTATGTTATACAATTAATAAATAATAGATAATAAATTCGGTTATGATTTTTTTTTACGTTTTGTTAAATAATAAATTCAAAAGACAATCGTGAGTAGATTACTTTATATAATAAATTAGCTTGCTATATTGAAAGAAAAAAAAAGAAACAGAGTAGTAGCGAATCGAAGTAGCATTTATTATTCATTATCAGAGACAAATGAACACACGAATGCAAGTAAACATTATCGTCATTTGCTGTTGTTTCGCGTTTTATGCAATTCCTATTGTATATCTTGTTAAAATAATAATATCATATTATATGTTGAAGCCATTTTGATGAATGAAAATTGAGAAAGAATAATTATTTAAGAAATTATATTCTGAATATAAAATGATATTTATTTTACAATTGTATCAAGATAAATATTTATCGGTATTATAAAGGAATTTTAAAGTAAAAAAATTCTATCGTAGGATTATGTTATGAATATTATTATCTTTGAATTGGATTAAACAAATTTAAACGAATCTAAAGAATTTGTAGTATGTAGTGAAATAATTTAATTTTGCCTTAATTATTTTGAAATTTCATTTATAAAATTTATTATAATATTTAAAAAATATTTCGAAATTTACTATAAATGTTTGTTCATTTAATATTTTACAGTTTCTCTTATTTTTCAAAGTCTTAAAGAAATAATTCTTAATAGAAAAGAAAGTCTTAATTGAAGAAAGAACGAAAAACTTTAATTATACTGTAAAATACGTGTATTTGATATTATTTACTAAACATTCATATTTTCCCATTATCCCCATAGACACAATGTTTCCAATTGCTTATTTTAGCAAATTAATTTGACTTTTATTATAATGTCATTTAATTGATCATACATATATAGTTTAATAACAAATATATTGTTTAATAAGATCATTGCTTACTAAATGAGCCTTCGTTAAATAATATTAAAATAATAATGAAAATAATTACATTCCCTTGCTAACGAATGCATTTTATTAAAGGCTCACGATATTCTTATATTATACAAATCAAAAAGGCAAACAAAGAAACAAATAATCCTTTATTAATTATATATTGTTAGGGTATATTTATAAGCCAATGTTTTAAGTACGTTGCACACATCATTTTCACTAAAGAATTCATAAAGATACATAAATTATTCGATTAAATTGTGAGTTCTGGGATTGTCCGAGGGGAATAGGCAGGTCCTTTATTGAAATTAGCAGTTTGTTAATGAAGATAGAAGGAAAACACAACGTTTAGCTTAATCTACGTCTCTCAGTTATAGGCTGGAGTATAAAAATACTCATATAGCAAAACGAATTACTACTCTCGCTATACTGTACATTTATTTTCCACGAGTGCCGGCGCGAGAGACAAAAGCCAAGAGGGGAGTGCTGGACCCAGGAAAATGATGGTATGTCAGCGCAATTTCAACTCTAAAAATCACGAGGGTATGTAGTTTTTTGATAGTTCAATCGGCAAAATGTCGGCAAAACCTACTGCATAAGTGCAAAATAAAAAAATAAAATTTATAATAAATCTTTTTTAAATTCCAGTATTCAAATAATTAGAGTTTATCACTTATATATTTTATGTGACTTGCAAGAAGTACGTGACTACAAAATACAAAATTCCTTGATCTTTTCATAAATTATATATGATTAATTGTACTTGATATATATGAATATTTAATAAACTATTTTATTTTCCATTTTAATTTCAAGTCCTCCTTTCAAAATATCAAAGAAACGCATATAAATTTGTTTTATCTGTAATAAATATATCAAATTATGGGGTTTGCTTATATAACGGTAATTCTCATATGCTTAATTAAGTGTATGTAATTCGTAATTATTAAATTAGATATTTATAATTACAAGCATATTTTACGCTACTTTCAATTGCGTTGTACTTGTACTGTTTATTTTGGCGCGCATTTAATGACTTTTTTAGTATCAGTTTAAAATGTATGTGTTTGTGCGATGAAGCCTACTAAAATGTTAATGTGTTGCTATAAAGAAGATGAACGGATGCAGTTTACAGCGACATATTGCCCACGTAGTCATCATTTGACTGCTCAGCATAACAAAATCTTTCTTATGGTTTCTATTTTTATTTGATAATCATCCTTTCACAATTTTCTAGTCATCACTCGATTTTTTATTACTTTATTTAGTAATTCAATTAAGCTGAATTCTGCTAAGTTGAAACGAACTGACTTTAAAAATTAAACATTAAATTAAACAAATAATTGATTTTTAGGATAAAATTCTCAGCTCATATATTATTAATATATTTTCACATGTTCATAATATAAGAAATTTTATTTTACTTTCATTAGTATTAATATTTAATATTAAAAAAATAAAATTGGGTCAGATTAACGTTTTAATACAAATTCATAAAATTCTTTGTTCTCAGTTAATAATTTCAATGAATTATTAAAACATCGAATAAATTTGAACTTTGTATATTCGAAACTAATTATAAGTAGTAATAATAAAAATGTTAATTAAACGAAATAATTATTAGTAATATGAATATTTATTATGATAAAATAAATATAACTAGTTTTATAAAATTCTTAAAGAAAATAATATACTTTAACTTACAATTTAACAGTTAATTTAAAATACTTCTTAAAGTTATTTCTATTTTAGAAATTATTGATTGGAGTCAACTGGTTAGGAATAATTATATTTAAACCAAATTCAATGTACAAAACATCATGCATATTTTCGTTATTTAAAAAATACTTTCTTACTTAATACGTTTAAAATTAATATTGCTATAATAAAAAATTTATAGTTATCGTCGACCATTTAAAATATAATACAAAATCTATCTTAAATAATAGATAGCAAAATAGATTTTATTAATCAGTATAATTTAAATGTAATCATTTATAATTAAAGTCGTTAATACTTTATCTTAAGACCGAAAATAAAAATAAAAATAATGTACTTATTTAAAAAATTTTAATGCATCTTGATGATTAAATAATATTTTAAAATTGAAAGTGATTAGCTCATAATAAAGATATAGAAAATTGAAACATAACCCAAATAAAAAGCGACGCAAACAATAAATAACAATTTTGTTTGATAAAGCAGATATTTATTGTTTGTTATATAATACAAAAATCATAGTATTATATCTATCAAATTCATCTAATCCCAATAATCGTCGAAATCATTGTATATTTACGAAGATTTATTCTAAACGTATCAAATAAATAGTCTATTTACAAATCTATCAAGTATAATGAATAAAAGTATACTTAGAATATCGACAAATAATTATAAAGCTACAGGAATGTTGTATAATTTTTACAAGATGTATGTGTACGTAAGATAATACATAAATGATTGATGAAAATAATAAAAGTACTAATTTTTTTATGCATCGCTGTATTGTTTATATTGGTCCATTATCTAAAA